CGGCCACTGCGGAGGAAGGAGAGGATGGCGGCGAAGAGGCGAGGGTCGCGGTCAAGGAAGTGTGGCGCGTCGGGGGACGAGGGGCCAAGGGAGGCGAGAGGGGAGGAAGCGCCCGCGCGGGAGAGGGTGGCTGCGGTGGTCTGGAAGAGCTCGCCGCCGACGTTGAGGGTGACGACGGAGGAGGACGTGGAGGTGGACGCCATGGGTGGGGATGGGGAATTCTCGGTGGATGCCATTGGCGTTGACTAGAGTGACATGTTTTTCTCTAGGGGGCCGACGGGTTATTTTGGTTGGGCCGAAACATCTAATGGGCCCGATAGTCGGCCGACGAAAGAGTTCGGTTTTTTCCCCGGGATTTTCATACACGCACGCACGAATTCCTTATATCTAATGTTGAGGCACCCCTCAAAAAAAAATCTAATGTTGAGGCTCACAATCTCGTAAAGCATGGTCTTACACTAGGAGTTGATCGTCATGTTTGTTTAGGCCAACCCGATAACTTTCTCTTCTCCTTGTAAACGTTGTGACGACATAATAAAGCTTGCAAGTTTATCTAAAAAAAACATTTCCTTGCCCTAAAAAGAGCAATGCACATTTCCATTTTTTTTCTTTTGGTCTTTGGCATCCATACAATTTCCAATATGATATACATTTTCCCGGTTTAGACTTCACTGCAACCACCGATATATATTATTATACCATTTGATTTTTTTTAAAGGTTCGTTGGTTAGAGTTAGTAAATGTACAAGACACAAATCTAAAATTATTTTAATTATAAAATTGATGATTTCACTCCGTAGGAAATTTTCCTACAAAATAACAGTTTGAATCAAAGGGATAAGACCATCAAAAATTCATCTACGCGAACTTAGCATAGCTCGGATGATTAGCTTCCCTGTGGTGGAACCAACACACTTGGATTTAAGTCTTAGGTTTGGCACGAGTGCTTGTATTTTCCTTCATTATTTCAGATTTCTTGTGATGTTCAGTCAGTGAAGACGTCATGGTCACTTTTCAATCTCAAAATTTATTTGCTCAATTTCTTGGAGGTGTCCTATAGCTATCTTCCTAACGACATCTCCCCTCCACTCCTAGCAAAGTGTTAATTGCTGATAAAATGGGGAAAAATGGAAGACACCCTACATCACTACTCATCTTAATTTTCTTCGCAAAGTGCGCCCCCACCCCCACCCACCCATCCAATCACAACTCAGTGGATTGGGCCCTTTTGTGGTGCTTTCCCACAACTCTTTCTCATTATCATTCCTTGTGCTTGTCCTCTCATCTTGTTCTAAGAAAACAAATGTCCTCTCATCTTATAAAGTTCCAAGCATCACACGAAAAAATCACCATATCACCTCTTGTGGTAAGCCATGTGCCGTACATGTTTGTTTTGCGCTCATGACGCACTAGTTTCGGGCGTCGTCACTCGTCACAACGTAGCGCGTGGAGGTCCCCTTTTATCTTCCCTTAAATTTTCTTCGCAACTCCCTAGACAAGGATGAGGTACCACTATGCGGGCCCGCCAGGATCTCCGCCATGGTCACCCACCTCCACAACAAGGCGACACTAGAAGTTCTTTTTACTATTGCTTTTAACGTGTGTTTCACAACAGGGGTTCAACTTCATGTGATTCGTGAATCTATTTTTTCTAAAAGTTGAAAAGCTCATTAGTTCTAGCTTGGAGGCTATGACCACTCACCATTCCACCTCCACTACAAGGCGACACTATGAGTTCTTTTTACTACTTTAAACGTGTGTTTCACAACAGGGGTTCAAAACTTCATGTGATTCATGAAATGATTTTTTCTAAAAGTTGAAAAGTTCACTAGTTCTAGCTTGGAGGCTATGACCACTCACCATTCCGGAGGGTTAGAACTATACATGGACTCTAGGATTACTTTCGGTTTCTTAGTAATTTATCTAAGTGTCTAACTTGACAACTTGGAGGTTTTGAACATGTGTTCACTCAGAGGAACCAGTGAGAGCAAATATTCTAGACACCTGATGTAATTTTTATTATGTTTGACGTTTAGT